GCATCCACAAATGCAAGTTAAAACTCAAACGCAAAGAAGAAACCACATATAAACAGGATCCAGAAATGCTGCCACCTTCTCTGGACTGAGGTGAAGTGGAAAAGCGCCCTGTGATCCGGCGAATCAACATTTGAAATTTGTTTTGTAAATCATGGACACTGTGTCCTCTGGGCTAAAGACTCGGCTTGTTATCAGTGCACAGTTCAAAAGCCTGCATCCGTGATGGTATAGGGGTGCATTAGTGCACATGGCATGGGTGACATGCACATCTGTAAAGGCACCCTTAATGCTGAATGATATATACATGCTTTGGCAACACATGTTGCCATCCAGATGATGTCTTTTTCAGGGAAGGCCTTGATTATTTCAGCAAGACAGTGCCAAACCACATTCTGCATGTAGTACAACAGCATTGGCTAAACTGGCTTGCCTGCAGTCCAGACCTGTCACCACTGAAAACATGTGGAGTGTTGTGAAATGAAAAATATGACAAATGAGCCCCCGAACTGTTGAGCAGCTAATCCTATGTCAAACAAGAACAGGAAAACATTTCACATTAAAAATTACAGCAATTGGTCTCCTCACTTTCCAAACACTTAGAGAGTGTTGTTAAAAGAAGAGGTGATGAAACACAGTGGTAAACATGCACCTGTCCCAACTTTTTTGGAGTGTGTTGTTGGTATCAAATTCAAAATGGGCAAATGTTTTTCAAAAAACAACAAAATTTCTCAGTTTCAACATTTGATATGTTGTCTTTGTAGTATTTTCCTTTAAAAATATGGTTTACATGATTTGCATATCATTGCATTCTATTTTTATTTACATTCTGCACAGCATCTGTAAAGCAAAGAAAATGGCAGGAGAGTAAAGGTTCCACATCAAGTCTATGGAACACCCCATCTGTGATGATGCCATATCAAGATCATGTAATAATACATTGAATTGTGAATAGGCAGAACCTACTGCTTTTATCACAAAAAATGGTAATTGTTATGAATAATTCAACTGTTCTGCTCTATCATAATGGTAACTTAACGCAGGAAGCCATTTTGTAACTTTGCCAATTAGCTTAATTGATGATTTGCATTTGAATACTGCTCCTACATTTCCAATCCTTTCATAGGGGAACAGACAGAACCATTCTGGACCCTAAGAGCCCCCAATATCTTACCCCCCCAATGCCACCCACCCACCATACAAACACAAATAAATGCACTGCATGTTTGGCTCATTTTCTCTGACAGTAACCAAATTGTTCAAGCTTAAATAATGCCTTCCACATTCATACAACCCGTCATTTTTTTTTACATTTGGTTACACACATTTTTCAATACTGAGGTCACTTTTTCAAAACTCGTCATACAGTTAGAGCAAGAGCAGTCTGTGGATTAAACTATGGATAATTTTTCATTGTTTTGGCATAAAATTCATGACCTCATGTTTTAAAATGTATGTAAAATATGTTCAAGTTTAAAAAAAAGACATAAAACATTGAAAAAAGCACTACTAATTCCCATTTTAGCTGAGGACCTAGCCAGGTGATTTGTTATCTTTTGCATTGCCATGAATATTCAAATATTTAGAATGATTTTTAGGTAAATATACAGCTGAGTAGACATTGGGAGTGCGGGGGGTTAAAAAAGAAAAAGAGTGACTAGATGACGAATTGAAAGGCCTAAGCAAGGTCTCATACAAAACATGAACATATTTCAGTAGGTGCAATAGCTCTTAGCTCAGATGAGACACACATTTGTAAATATGGGAATATGTGGCATTTTACTGCTCCCTTGCAGTTACAGAGTGGTCTGCAGCCCAGACTTGAACAGGGTCACAAAAGGTAAAACTAACAAAGGCAAACAACATAAAATAAAGAAAATTTGTAGACAAGTATTTTATAAGATGAGGATACGATGATGAGTAGATGATATTAGTAGTTGGTTATTCTGATTATTCTGTCATTATGAAAATCTGATTTTAAATAACCAGACAATTTACTGCACACCATCCGATTTCATGGCTTATTTCCACACAAAAAGTTGGTTCTATCCCTCCAATGACAAATACTCAAGCCTCTGATTGATGACAGTGTTGCCTTCCACCACTTTCAGCCTTTGTTTTAAGAGTATGGGGAAAAAAGAATTTTGGATTTTTTTTTTCTTTGCAGTACATGCAATCTATTAAATGCAGTGATATAGTTGTGCTTTGCTACATTATAAATCTGTTTATGGTAAAGTATCAGCATTTAGTATAGCATTCACAATGTACTACACTGTTAGAAATAAAAGTACTGTGTCACCCCAGGGACAAAAGGGGCCCCAGTGATAGTTACATACATTTTTTCTGAGAGTGTAATGAAGGCAAAATACATCCAATTGAAACCTAAATTTTATTTTTTGGTAGTTGTTTAGTGACTAAAGGAATTAATTAATTTATAAGGACACAGTATAATACAGTACAGATTTATACAATTTGATTAAATCTTTGTAATATGTCATGTTATTATCTGACCCTCCACTTTTAAGGAACATCAAGAACAAAGCCAGAAAAAATGTCTTCCTCTTATACCTCAATAACCCTTTTTAGCCAGCAGGTGGAAGCAGAGGGTGGAATTTTCGTAGGTGCAATATTACGGTGCGTTTCAGTCACAAGATGGCATTGCAGAGCTGTGATGATGGTGGGCTTCATTACGCATCTATTGTATATTTTTTTCATACACTTCCAACAGTGTTTCATTTTATGCTCAATTCTTTTGTTTGTTTTATGATTTTGTACTTAACTCTTCTTATTTCAATGTATTTTATTCTATCCTATTTACAAAATCAGTTCTAAAAAAGTTGGAACAGTATGTGAAAAGCTAATAAAAAAGGAAGCAGCGATTGGTAAATTCTATTTGACTAGTATCGAATTGAAAAAATACAAAAAACACAGTATTTTATGTTTTAACTTTTGAACTTTTTGTTTTTTGTAAATATACGGTCATTCCAAATTTGATTCCAAAAAAAAAAGTTGAGACAAGAGCATGTTTACCACTGTGATTCATCACCTTGCCTTTTCCCAACATTAATAATCGTTTGGCTGCTGAAGACACAATCCACTTTTGAAAGCAAAAGTTCTTCTGTTATAAAGGAAGGCCAGTCTAGTGCCCACGCTCTTTAATTACGCATCCATGCTGTGGTACCATATGCAGAATGCGGCTTGATACAGTCATGTTGAAATAAGCACTGGTGTTTCTAAATGAGACAGTGTCTAAAAGGCAGCTTTTGTTGCTCCAAAATGTGCTCTGTGTTGATGGTGCTTTCACAGATGTGGAAGTTACTCACTATTAATCTTCAAAAGCAGACGGCAGACCCCCTCTTATGAACTTTAAGCTGGTAAAAGTCTGGATTGGATAGTCCTTTTTTGATTTAGCTCTGAGAACACAGTGTCCATTATTTACATAAATAATCTGAAAAGTTGACTGGTCAGATCACAGTACTCATGTCCACTGTGCATCAGTCTATTTCAGATGAGCTCCAGCCCAGAAAAGCAGGTAGCCTTTCTGGACACTGTTGACATATGGTCTTAATTTGCATTTTTGGATTCAGCCAGCGGACAGTGTTCATTGACAATAGTTTTTTCAAAGTATGCTCGAACCCATGTGGCTGGAATAGCCAGCACAGAAACATGCTGGTTTTTAATGCAGTGCTGTCAGAGAGGTCAAAGGTCACAGGCATTCATTTGTAGTTTCGCTCAGAGATTTCTCTGGATTCCCTGAATCTTTTAATGATATTATGCACCGTAGAGGGTGAAATATCTAAAAATCCTGGCAATTCGTGGCTAAGAAACATTAACAGATAAACTATTTATTGATGCCTTTTGGGCAATGTGGTGAGCTTCAACCCATAAATATAAGGACTCATATATATGCTCATATATATGAGGACTAGGCCTTTTCTGGATGCTATTTGTATATCCAAGCATAATTGCATTACCTTTTTACAATGTTTTTGAACATTTCACAATGTTTCTTGTCTTTAATTACCCCTGTCCAAACCTTTTTGGTGTTGCAGGCATCAGTCTCCGTATGAGTATATATGTAATTTTTACCTTATTAACAAAGACAAGGTTGATGAACGTTTTCAAATACAGTCAAAGCAGATTTATATGTCACTCCTTTCTGTTTTTCTTTGTATTTCACTTTCTTTGTACTGTCCCAACTTTTTTGAAACTGGGTTTGTAAATTTATTTATTTTGTTTCATTCAGTATTGCTACTGTCTGCTTTGCTTTGTGCTCTCTCTGTAAGGTATGTATCTGTGAATGTCCACTGGTACGCATGTTTGCATGTGTAGGTGACAGTATATGTGACAGAAGGTTTGGAAAACATAAATGCAGTATATTCAGAACAGCTCAGCATGCTAACATTCACATAAGTAAACTAATAAAGATAGAAAATATACTTATACAAAATTAACATATACACATTCAGAATCACACACACACACACACAAAATCCAAGTCCAGGTGACACAATGCTGTTCAAATTTCTGCATTTTCTCTACACTACCCAGTCCATTAGGGGCCTTGTTCGTCAGTTAATTGGTTGAATCAGGCGTGCTACATACGACTTGTATTGGTGGTGCATTATTTTTGACACCCTATTTGGTATGGTAGTATGCGTTTTTGAACATAGCCAAAGTGTCTCCAGGTGTGGGGACTGATCCCCGTCTAACAGGGCAAGATCTAATATGCAGTGCCTTTAAAAAAAGGTCTTATGATCCAAGACTTGAAGTTCCTCTAAATAACCACACGATGGCGGTGCTGAACACAGAAACAACTTACAGTCACTGCGTTGTTTGGACATGGATATTTCTTGTTGAGCGACCTGTTGAATTTATATTTCACTTCAACTGAACTATTTATTATGAGCAGTGTAAGGTAATGTTTTCAAATAAAATGAAGCTAAGACTTGGCCAAATGTCGCACACCCGACGGGCTTTAGGACTGCGCAGAATTCTGCAGCTTGCTAGAGTCGTAAGCCGCTGGGCTAGCCATTTGTCTCTTTACCATGTGGTGTGCCTTGTTAGCGTCACCAGACTTGCCGTAGCCGTAGCCACTATCCTGAAACCCAAAGACCAAAATATTACCTTTCGTCTACAAATAGTTGACGACCGACAGCGGACGACTGTGCCTGCACCAAGCTTTGAGAGGGGTTCAAAGAAGTGAAGAAGGCCAGCGACCACAAAATGAAGTCTGAGGGAATTGAAGGCTGTGAGAGATTTCTGAGCCCTGGCAAAGGCCGAGGGATTAGAGCAACGAAACACTTCAAAGTTGGCGATCTCATTTTCGCGTGCCCGGCGTATTCCTACGTTTTGACAGTGAATGAGAGGGGTGGCCACTGCGAATTTTGTTTTACGAGGTAGGTTTCAGTGTCCGCAAGGTCTACCTGATACTTTGCATGAGGGCCAGGTTAAGAGTGTAGGAGTGTGGCAGTACACCCGGTGCAGCCCTCATCAGCTCTTGACATTGTAGCTAATTAAAATTGTAAGGCTTTTCTTTCACATTCTTTTTAACAGAAGGGAAGCTTTGTCCAAGTGTGGAAAATGTAAGCAAGCCTACTACTGCAATGTGGAGTGCCAGGTAAGAAACTACATCTTTACCATGTACCATTTGGATCCGCTTGGTTTTGACGTAGGCTGTAGCTCTGTAAAAATAGTGACAACTGAATATGTGGTTTCGGTTTTAGTGTAGAGATGGACAATACCATTCTCTTTCCTTTCGATCCAAAGGCTAATATCCAGACGTCAGTGCTGCTAGAGATGCTTTTAAAAGTCTTGTAGTACATGCAAAAATGGGGATAATTTGTGACTTCTACAAAGAAAAACACACAGTTAACACACAAAATTGTCACAACGTTGCGACAATGTACTTGTACTTTCTTACAAAGTTGTCAAATAGTGGTGTTGTTTACGCTGTCATAACGAGGTTGTCACGTTTTCACAACCTTATTATGAAGCAGTGTTTGTCATATGGTATTATGACTGCCTGTTAGCTTAGCCACTTAGCAAAATTCCCTAGAGCTCCATGCACAACGTAATGGAACTTATGAGAATTCTAGAAGGTTGTGACAACTTACTGCCAACGTTGCCATTACGTTGTCACAATGTTGTAAGATAACGTAGTCACAACTTTGAGATATTACGTTTCAACGTTGTGACGATGTTGTGGCCCCTAAAATAATAGGTTGTCACAAAGTTTTAATGACCTAACTGTGTTTGCTGGCTAGTCTTTGAGTTGGTATTAAGTAATTGCCAAATGAAGTGACTACAGTAAAGTGACATAACCCCAAATGATTTGTCAGTATTCACTTAATTTTATTTGACTGTGTATGAAGGAGAGCGAGAGAAGCATTGGGAGGGTGCAGAAACAAAACAATGAGTGCATTTACATGCACGTAATAATCCGATAACTGCAGAAAATCAGATTTTGTCAGTAATCCATTCAGCCCATTTACATTCACTTGAGTAATCAGACAATGGGACACTCCAGGTCTACATGAATCAGACAGTAATCAGATTTCTACTTTGCAACCAGCCAATAAACTCACAGAAGACGACGTGACATAAACGTAACATAAAACTCAAACTTCATGCTGCATTTTCGTTTCCCCTTTTTAAACGTCGCGACGCTTTACCTGAAAATACGAACATACATCATTTAGAAGATGAAGAATATTTAAATCCGTTATTTTTCTGTTTGGTTTCAGTGCGTCTCCAAAAGTGTTCTGCTGCCATCTCATAATATCCACTGTCTGTTCTCGCGCATGCGAAGACTGAGAAATCCGATAGAAATCTGAGTATACACAAGTATACATGCACTGAGGAATCTGTTTACTGAGCTAAAATTCAGCTCTCTTTATCAGATTTCTTAATTGGATTTCTAGATCGGAGTATGGTGTTTACATGGCCATTTGAATAATCGGATAACTGCAGAAATACGGTTATGATCGGATTATTGAGTGCATGTGTACACACTCAATTTTGCCAATGCCTAAAAGCCTCTATACCTGTGGTCAACCCTCCTCCTGCAGATATACTTTCCTGCAGTTTAGCTATAAGCTGCCTCTAACATGGTGCACCCCCCTAACAATAATGCATCTGATGCAGCCAATCAAGAGCTTCTGAAGAAGTAGCAGGTGTGGCAGTTTGGGGTTGGTGGCCACTGCTCTATTATCTGCGTTCTGCACAGGACATGTGCTGCAGAAATCATGCGGAAAAAAGATTGTTGAGGTTTCTCAGCTAAATAATGCATCAGTATATGTAAGTTTTGTACTGGATTTGTTGAAAGAGCATTTATAAATGCATTATGTTTAAGAGTGTAGGTGCCATGACGTGTCACAGATGAAATACTGAAGAAGCCCTGCTAAATGGGAGTGGGTGACTCCTTGTAAGCAATAAGAAAAAAAATGTATTTGATGTTCAGTGACCTATGTAACCAGTGTAACTGAGAATAGGAAAGATATTCACTGCTTGTTTAACGCTGATGACTGAGTTTTAGGTTGATGAAAATGTTAATCTCTTTTATGTAACAATTTTGAGTAGATTGGAAGCAGGTTGTTTCAGATGAATGGCTTCTCCGGGTGAAGAAAGCTTGTTATAACACAGGGGTGTCCAATCTTATCCGCAAAGGGCCAGTGTGGCTGCTGGTTTTCATTCCAACAAAGCAGGACTGCACACGATCTGTTGTTTAAAGGCTGAGCAATTGATTGAATAAGTGAAGTCGGGTGTGCTCCTGCTCGTTTGTAATGAAAACTTGCAGCCACACCGGCCCTTTGTGGATAAGATTGGACACCCCTGTTACAACATAAGTATAATCTATAAATCAAATCTCAGCTAGTCTCCATTAGAATTTGAAAAACTGTTGAGACAAGTCACTCATTGCTCATCTAATTCTAGTGAACTAAATTTGAGTCATTATCACTTTGTAGGCCTCATTAGAGGATTTGGCATTTGATGTGAGAATTCCTGAGATGGAACTTGTCTTCACATTAGTCTTGCCATTACTGTGACAATCCAATCTAATCCATATCTTCCGCTGACCAGAGCACAGGATTTGTTTGTTTGTTTGGCCCCAGAACCTTCTGAGGCAGTCCGAGATTAATTAATACTTTGCAGGCTGAATGAAAGGCCTTTCATTTACAGTAAACCTGCTTCATTTGTATCAGAAGCATTAGTTGGCAAAAAGGTTGCACACACAGAAAGACCAAATGACTAAGACCAGTTCTGTTTTTGGTTATTTTTTTTCATGTGTTAATGGTTTGACTTTTTTATTATTATTTTAAGAGAGAGAGAAAACAGCTTGCAGAGGTGCAGGTCTTCATTATTTGGTTTTTTGCGGTGTTCAATCCACATTGTTTTGTGTGTGTGTGTTTGTGTGTGTGTGAGAGAGAGAGAGAGAGAGAGAGAGAAATTATGCATCTTACTCTTTTCCTAGAAAGGAGATTGGCCCATGCACAAGCTCGAGTGCTCTGCTATGTGTTCATATGGTGAAAACTGGTGTCCTTCAGAAACTGTGCGACTTGTGGCTCGAATCATTCTGAAACAGGTAAGCAGAGGTTTAAGTGATTTGTTGGTTTTGTGGTTTTGTTGAAAAATCTAAGTTGTGCGATTAATGTACTTTTCTCACAGGCAGTGGTTGTTAACACTAATTTGCTGTCTGTGGCTCCAAGTCATCTGGAGATATTTTGAAGAGAAAAAAAAAATCTCAGAACCTTTCTGTGTGTTCTCCCAACTCATTCAACATTATAGGAGAAGACTCAGTGCTCTTATTTTGGGAATGGATGGTACACTATGTACTGAATTCAGAAGTGCTTATAAATGTGGCACATGTTTCTGACAAAAATGTCTCTCTTAGCATTTATTTTTTACTAATTTCTTAAAGGTTAGATTTTTCACATTTTCAGTGACGATCAAGCTAATAAACAGGACATTTTTCACTGCCTTTTTTGCTCATACTCACTGTGTATGTGACTTCTGACTCATTTTGATTTTGGCACATCCATTTTAATAGACAACTATTCATAAAAATGACATTGATATACCCACATTGTAGCTCTAATAATACACAATTAGACTGGCAGGTCTAAAGCAAAAATTATTATTTACAGAATTTATTTACAATGATTTGTTAGTGATCAAACTGCACTTCCCTAATACGTAGCCATTTGACTGTGAAGTGAAACATTTTATTTTTGCGCTTTTGTTGACACTGATTTAGCACACATCCTCCTCATGTGGCCTTTTCTTAAAGTATTTTTTAATACACATCTGTTAAGTAAATATTAGATGAATCTTGAGTAGTTCTAATAAAGACAATTTGCATGTAGTAGCGAGCTAACATTATACCAGGGCTGTATTGACTCTTGTTGCTCACTCCTGCTGTCTCATTCACTCTCTATCGCTCGTGCCCTCCCGTCTCCCAGCCCTGCGTTTGTATCGCAGTTGAAGTCAAAATGTGGTGTTTTTTCAAAACCATTTAATAAGAAATGCTCAGTACTTTTTGAACGGGATAAGATACTTGGGGAGCTGTCCGTATACCTGGGCACACCACCAAAGTACAACCCATGTGTTGGAAACACTGCACAGATATGAGTGAACAAGAATGTCATAAATATATTTAGTTCTGTTGGTAAACTCTCTATTTCAGACTTAGAATTTCTTCAGCCGCATTGTCAGAAAAAAATGTGCCCTTCATATTTTGATCTATGGATTCAATTAAAGACACTGTCTTATTAATCATATAACTTAATAACCATACTTCTGAGGGTCTCTTACTCGTCGAATGATGGTCTGATTAATATTTAGAGAAAAGATTGGCCAGTGCCCCATATACCGCATAAGAGTTTTGTATTTGATGAGATGTACTAAGATCAGACATTTTTGCTTATCATTATGTATCTGTGGTGACAGTTTTTAGGTTGAGAATAACTCGTTTTCCTGGAAGCAAGTTCCATTGTTATGATGTAGTGGCTCAACTCAGAGTTAGGTTCTGAGATCTTTATACGAATGTCATTGTTTCTGACAAACCCCCAAATTATTTGACGAAGAACACATCTATTGGTGGCAGTGAAAAGAACATTGGAATACTCACAATGTCCTCCAATGTAGAAGGAATAACAGTGTAATTACTAGCTCTACATCTGTAACACACTGTTATTAGTATACTCATACTGAGTACAGAAATGTATTGCAGTGCGCTGTGTTTAATCCTTTTTCTCTAGGTATCAACATGGGCTTTTGTTTCTAGCAATATTTGAGCTTAGGAATAGCTTTCTCTCTAACCTATTTGTATCTAGCAAAGATACTTTCTCTGGGTAGACAGCAAAGCACTTTTTATAAGTCACTCTGGGCAATTTGCTAAATGCTGTACATGTAAATGTAATACTAAAGGGCAAATCTACCAGGTGCTGTAGTGTTTCACTTTTGATTGGTTAGTTGCAAACTTTTGTTTAAACTGCTGTAGAAAATAAATAATTCTAAGCCTTGCCCAGCTAGAGAGAATTGTTGCTGCTGAGAAAGAATTATTAAAATTGTGAAGTGAGCTGATCTGTGTGCCACAGAAGGGAGTTTGGTGTATAAACATTGCATGCACTGATGTAGAAATGTATGAATTGATTAATAATAAATATTATAAAGATATAATAAATGTTATAAAGATATTGTAAGTAGGCTACAAATCAGTTTCATCACCACAAATATAATTTTGGTAACCAAAATTTAATGGTGTGTCTAAAACGTTTTTGAATGCAAATGGAAGGAGATGTGTTATTGTAATATACTGATGTCTGATATCAAAACACAGCATGATGGACAATGATTACTAATTAGTCCACATTTACCCTACATTGAAATGTTTGTAGATCTGCTCTTGACTGAAATGACAGCAAGTGGTAAAAACAGTTCAATAGTGCATATTTCTAGATGATTGTTTAAATGTCAAAGTACCTAGTTTACCATTTTATGGGCTCAGCTGTGCTTTTATTTTACTTGTCCTGTTTGCTTTATTTTGGAGACATACTAAAATAAAATGAAAATGAGTTATCATTTCTTTAGATCCAAACTACCTGAATATTGTTTTGTGTTTTTCAATTACCAAATCAGTTATTTGTTTATTATTATTATTTTTTTTTTGTTAGAAATTCCAGACAGAGCGGACCCAGTCAGAAAGGTTGCTAGCACTGAAAGAGTTCGAAGCACGTAAGTATATCTTTGCTTACGATAAATATCAAGTGTGCTTTTTTTTGGAAAATGCAATGGAAATTTCATAAAGCAGTGCATTGAAAGATCATTAGTCTGAAATTCAGTAATTTCCATATATTGCATACATGGGGAGACATATACATACATATCTCTACATATCTAGTCTTAACATACTTAACTGTAAAACATCTTTATTTTGATTTTGTTAAAGGGCATGTCCAGGGGCATGTGACTTGAAGCAGGATTTATTGTTTAGATAACTTAGTTCAATCTAAACCTGATTGTTTTGTTTTGTTTTATGATGGTTAATCACTTTTAACCAAGCTACATCACCTTGGCATCTTATTCTGCGCACCTGCTTCTGTTCAAATTTAGGATTGCGGATCATAAAAAGCTCTTGGAGCAGTTCAGGGCTGACTTTCTGGTGGAGGTGTAAAGGGTTGGGTGGCACCCCTCTATTTAATACATTCAAACTGCCAGATACTAGCGGGGTGCAGGCGGGTGGTTTTGTAAGTGACGTTAATGCAGAAATACGAAATCGCACAGAAGTGTCACAAATGCCTTATGTCAAAGTCAAGGAAAAAAAAGAGTTTGATTACATGGTAAAGTAAACACTGCACAGTTCTGAAGCCATCTTACAGTAAATGTCAATCCATCTGTCTAACAATGGATAAATGTTAAACAGCACTGCCGAGTGGGTAAGAGGAGCTGGTTGGATTTAGCAGAACATTTGGTGTTTGATTCTAGCTAACTAAAGCTAACTGACTCACTTGGTTGGTATGGCGATGACCAGGCAATTGTCACAAGGTTTGCAATCTCAATAGCAGCTCAAACAGGGCTGTAAACATCTTAATTATATGTGGAAGAACTCAAGAGGTTCAGCTGTTGAATGACATGATAAAGCTCTCTGTGTTTCACCTTTCCAAGTGTAGGTTACCTGTTAATAATTTTAACATTCAGCTGTGAGTGCATTTTTTGGCCCAGCATGTTAGATATGGCAGCTGTGAAAATCGCTGGGATATATCTTTTAAATTTTTTGTTGCAATGTTTAGTGCAGGCAGCTGTTTGCTATTGCTCACTAGAATTTAGAAACAGCAAAGCTCTCAATGATAAAAAAATAAAAACGCTACACAGAACTGTGTATACACGGATGTAGCTTTGTCTGCATAAGACATCAGATGCTTAGTCTGAGGCTAAGACTAATTGAGAACAATCATATGTCAGTAAAGCACTAATTAACTAAAACTATTTTTATACTAAAAGTGAAAAAAACAGTTATTGTAAGATTGCATTTTCCCAGCAACAGCAGCTCTTAGATTACTCTATGTAGTTTGTTTGCAGATGCAATTGGCCAGTGGAGAATCCGCACTAGTGCTGTGTTCTGGAGATTAGTTTTTCATGAGGAAGAAACTTTGAGGGGAGCCAAGATTCAAAAAAGAATGCAGCATTATCTGGGTTGTACCAGATAGTTATGAGCAAAAGAGGTATAAAGTAAATTTGCATATCGCTGTTGTAAGAAGTAAACCTTGTATTTCCAAAATGGTAACTTTATAGGAAAAGGAAAAAACATACTTCACTTTTTATGTAAGTCAATGAACCCAGACTTTTTTTTCCAAGTCACTTTGGGCTGTTTCTTTTGGTCCATTCTTCATGAAATTTACACACAGTTTAAGGGGCAACAGGGATTTTCAAATTATGTCAAACTGAAAAACGAGAAAAAATGGAGATACAACTTTTTCTTACGACAGCAGCGATATGTATTTTTTGTGATCTTAAAAATCTACAATGACTAGATTCCATATTGTCTTTTCAGCTAAAAGAGGTAAACATCCTATCCCATCTCACAGCTGGCCCATGTATTGCTATTCAGCTCAATGTTGTTTCTCACCCAGATTCTAACTGATGGAAACAGGTGAAGGCCTGTGTGGAAACATCAGACATTTGCTCTTTCTGTTAAAACATGAACCTGTTGGAGGGCAGGGTAATGGTACTGCATAGTCTGCATAGTCTGTCATGCTTAACAAACACAATCTGGGTTAAAGGAGACCATTAAAATAGAATACTGGTTACACTTATTTAGATAATTGTGAAATGACTCAATTTATTTTTTACAAAAAGTCCTTACTACTGTCATCCCTACTGAATGATAAAATGTGACTTGTGTTTTTGTATGCATTTTAATTGCAGTTTCCCTAATATTTTATCAGATCTGGACAAGTTGGACAATGAGAAAAATGAGATGAACCAAACTGATATTGCTGCACTCCGTCATTTTTACTCACGGCATTTGGAGTTCCCTGATAATGCTGCTCTCACAGAACTCTTTGCCCAGGTAAGGTGTCCACTGCTCATGGTGTGGTTTCATCCCACTACTTTTACAGTATTTTTCAGCTGCTTCAGGGGAGTTGCTGAGTTCATGTTTTCAGAACAGTTGTCAAATGCACATTTGAAAGTAAATAATGTCCATTGGAATGTTAAAGCTACCTCTGCTGCGGCTCCTAGGGTTTCAAGCTAGTTAGTTTTCAAACAGCAGGGAGAACAATGCTGACCATAAATAAACAAAGCAAATTTATGCATTTTGCCTTTAATTAGAACAGTATGGGGATTTGCAAACATTTAAAACTTTCTAGCAGTTTGGTCATTTGGAACAAGGCGATAAGCTGAACAAAGCTATATGGGTCGAAATATGTTCTTGTGTGAGTCAATTCAGGATCTGCTTCAGATGGCAGACTTTTTCTGACAAGCCAGTGCTCTAAATATAAACGCTTTGTAGTGCAGTAAATTAATAATCACATAACATTTATAAGGTAGTGAAGTAAGGTGCTAGTTTAACTGTGTAGCTAAGCTGATTCATAGCTACTGCAGGAAACCCATGCCTGCCTCGGGCTTTTTCTCTCACTACAATTGGTGTCCTCACACTTCCCATGCAGTTGCACTGTTTACCTTACAATGACAATGGGATGTCACTGGTGTGAGGTTTTTATGGATAAGTAAGTCTCACAGATATGTCAGAATATGCCTTTGGACAACTATCTCGAGGGTTGTGACACTCAGGTAGAGAATTGCTAGCTTTAAAACAGGATGATTTTGAGGATGCTTGATAGTTTATGCTGAGCACCCCCCTTAGCTTTTTTGCCTGTGTACCTTTTTGACAACCATCTCATGAGGCAGACAATTACAGGTTTAAAAATAATAAAAGTTAATAAAATATGAATTAAGAATAATTTCAAATGAGCTGCTTTAAAGTCATCTACCATTATACCATATACTATAATATTGTTATTCTATGCATTTTTAATAATTCCCTTTTTCTATATTTAACTACAACTTTAGAACCATACAAACAACTTGGAGCTTAGTTTTGGTATTTTGAGTTCTTATTCAGCCATGGAAAGAACCTGCTACCTGGTAGGTAAAAGCTAAAATTAAAGATGTTTCCTGTTACTTTAGGTTAATAAATCCAGAATATGCTATTCTTGCCAGAATGGCTATAACCCCATTTCTGCTTTCATGTTTAATTGTTTAATGAACGTTATTGGCGTCAGACAGATGTTTAAATTTGACCAACATTTTAAACCGATATTTGATGGTGTATTTTTTTTTACTTTGGAAGAGTAAAATGTTTAGGCAACACTGGGCTACTGGTTTAAAATGTCTGCGTTTTATTCATGCATTTGTAATCGTATAGAAGTACATGATATGTTTCTCTGTATGGCTAATTCAAATGAATTTATTCCAAATTTCTGTACTTTATATATTTTTATGTATCTGCTGATATATACATGAAAAATAGGATGGTGGCATCAGCCCACAGTTTCCAAATCAGTGCAACCCTGGTTTCTTTGCAAGCACCCTTCACTCCATTACTACCCCCACACCCCTTTGGACAGCTGTCCTATTTAATATGCATACCCCTGCTGCATTCCTGATTTTGATGCACGCCCTTGCTGCAGATGGTCTCTGGACAAAAGTCTGATTAAAAATTGTGCCTAATAACCATGCAGATTTTGCGCAAAGATTGCGAAATCCAGGAGTTACGGCAAAAGTGAAGGGTGATATTTCTTTTTCCGTTTCTGCTTGTGTATCTGTGCAAATGTAGGTGAATGGCTAACAGATATCTAGCAACTTTGACAAGACGCTTATAATGAAGAATGTAGTTTTACTTAATTTGTGTTATAGTTTATTCTGTTTGTTCGTTCTTTTTGCAATCAGAAACAACTTTTAGGTCCTTATTTCTTTTTTGTAATGTCAATAAATTATGTTAGTGTGAGCATGTACTGCTTTGGTCACACCTGGATTTTGAGGTTTATTTTATTTTTTGGCCAAATGAAACCCAAAAAGAAAAGAAATTGCAAACTTCAGTTTCAGGAGAGCAATTATAGCAAAGTGAGCAAGCAGCACTCTTAAGATAGCACACACAAGGCATAGTGTAATTTTTCAGTGGCAGTGAAAGCGTATTTTTGCTATTAGAATGTCCGAATTTGTAAAAGATTTGAAAGCATTTGATTGTCTTATTTCCAACAAGACAAAATACTGTTAGTGTAATATTGTTATGAGTAAACACAGAGGCATAAAAGCTCTGAAGGTCATCCAACATAAAAAAGCACAGAATACTCAGTCATTTTACGTACAATTTATCCTAATGTGCACCTACTGCGTGTTTTATTTCACAGTTTAATGTACAGACATTTGCTTTTATAAGTAGGCTTTTTACCCACTTGGCACCAAGCTAGCAGTGTTTTACTTTCACAAGCTAGGTTTAGCTTAAATATGGACATTTTAAGCGTGTGTAACATTCAAGCAATATTCTTTACTTTGCGTGCTACAGTTTTATAGTTTAATAGATTAATGCCAGCTCCTGCTATAGAGAGTTGTTCCCTTTCGTGTAGGTATCAGCCAGCAGATGTAGTCTTAGTGGTGTTTTCAAGTGTAAATTTTCACAGGAGACACTAAGTCAGTCATTAGTCGGTTTTAGTTGGCGCTGTTTCTCCCTTGTTGGTTTGATGTGTCTTGGCTTGTCTATCTATTAAAGTCTCTTTCCGTTCTATTTTGTATGACCCTATGGAAATGCACACATGCGCACACAGGCATTGGAGTTGGATGGTATGACAGTATGCGGTGCAGTAGCAGAAATTTGTCCACCGAAATTTGTCCAACATTGCAGGGGATGAAAATCTGCTAATGAGATTTTTGTTCTTTTACGTTCAGGAAGATGTGTATCTGTTAAAAACAAAAAAAGTCAAAAACAAAAAGCATATATTTTAACACTCTTGCTGTTTTTGAGAATTTTTTATGCTTTAAATCTATTCATGTTTGATTAATGGTACCACAGTAACAGCCCCCAGTGACGGTAAAAACTCATTTACTGTACTAAAAACACTGTTAAGCTGTATGGTTGAATGTGCTTGACATCCTCCAACCAGTGTTACTTTTAATTTAGTTTTAATTTAATTTAAGTAAGTCTAGATACCTACCTAGCTCACAATAAATTACTGCTAGCAACTCAGTATCAGTTATTACAGTACATTTGTGTCACATTAATTAATATGCTACGTTATCTTGTTTACTGAGCTCGCTAATGGAAATTTTATCGTTATCGTCCATTCTGTCACAACTTTCAGTTCCGGAATGGGGTTCAGTTACATTCCGGCCTATTTCTTCCACTGTATACCGTACTGTGCAAAAGACACAGGCCAGCCTTCATTTCCCTCTTCAATTCCATCTCATATGAAACAATTTTGATAAGCAAACATGAATATTGTTCAGGATGGATGTCACTGAGTAATTCCAGTGTTTAAACATATATTTGGCTATTTCTCTTTGCTTGAATGGGGCAGCATGGTGGGTAACACTGTCGCCTCACAGCAAAAAGGGCCTGGGTTCGATTCCCGGCTGGGCGACCAGGGTCCTTTCCGTGTGGAGTTTGCATGTTCTCCCCGTGCCTGCGTGGGTTTCCTCAGGGTGCTCCAGTTTCCTCCCACAGTCCAAAGACATGCAGTCAGGCCAATTGGATATGCTCAATTGCCCCTAGGTGTGAGTGTGTGTGAATGTATATGTCTGTCTGTCTGCCCTGCGATGGACTGGCGTCCTGTCCAGGGTGTATCCTGCCTTCCGCTTGATGACTGCTGGGACAGGCTCCATCTCACCCCGCGACCCAGCTTAAATGTCTGCCAATAAAATACCTTTCACTAACTTATCTTGCTTCTTCAAGTGCTGGCCTTATCATTAGGTGATGCAGAGTTCAATACCCAGTGAAGCCTCAACCATCCATGGCTGGGAGTCCAAGAGAGCATAATTGGCCTAACTCTTTTTCTGTATGTGGGATGGTCCTCCCTCTCCCCATCGTCACTCAGTGCGATGCTAGCCAACACAGGCGTCTGTTAGCTAACATGACAGAATTGGCAGTTAGCGTTCTCATCTAAACGCATTGAGCTATCCAAGTACGTGGTAGCAGCCATCCTGAAATATGCAGTGGCTGGCTTCACATGTCTCGGAGGAAGCATGTGCTAGCCTTTGCCCTCCCAGCCTAACTCGGGGAGACTTAAGAGGTGGAATTGGCAAAGATTAAATTAGCTAACGTGGCTAATGTTACATGGATGTGTCACAGTTTTCTGTAGTCTAATATCACGTCTGTCGTTAAGTTATAGCCATTTTGCAAGTCTTCTAGAATTCTTTTGGGGTCTATAATGTTAACAAATGATGACACTTCTGAAAATTAAATAAGGAAAAGAACACTGACATAACAAATGAATACTTGTGTGTTCCAATTATTCGGGCCAGGCTTAATTACCTTTACAGTACTCTTTAAATTAGCAACTACAGTACTGTGCAAAAGTAAGAGACCACCATTCATTTATGTAATTTCATGTCAGAAGTACAAGATATTCCTTTTTCAAGTTCAAAACATATTTAACAAAAAAATACACAGATGCCTGTACAAAAGGTTGTTACGGTGTCATTATTTCACATTCTGTAATTGGATGCTTACCACACTGTTGGCTTTTTCAAGATGCAGATTAAATTACAGTTCTGTCAGTTCTACAACTTAAAGTTCCTTAAATCAGTGATTCTCAGCCTATTCTAGCTGCAACCCCCTCCCTCTCGACCAACTTCATGTTTCGCCATGCCCAAGAGACAAGGACTTCAAGTGCTGGTAGTGAACTAAGAGGTATTAAGTAGTAAGTAAGAGTGAACCGTGTATACACTCGGGCTGCAATAAACGGCTAATTAGATAGTCAAATAATCTTTCGATTACTGAAACAAATAATCAATTATTTGGATTATGAATCACTGTATTACCAAATAACTTTTATGTAGCTATTAGGTTTCAAATTTAGCTGGAGGTTTTAGGCATTTGCTAACTAACAATGAAGACAATATAGATCAATAACATTCAAAAATGTACTGTTTTAATGAACTTTGCTGCTAATACAAAAGATGAAAAAATAAAACTCCAATATATTTCTCCTGTCAAAATTTATAACCAAGGATGTGCAAAGTGGCAAAATGTAACAAAACTAAATCAGTTTTCCTTTAATCAAGTAAATAAAAAAATCAATCTAAATTTAAATGTTAAATTTAAACTGTAGTCTGTGCTCTGCATTCTGCTGTCTGTCTACACTCTGTTACAACTAAATTCTACAATCATAGGTCTTTATTGAAACGGTGGAAAGTCAGCATCTGTGTGTGCTCTTGTGAGAGCCCTGATCTCCTCCAAGAGTGGACACTACAGGGAAGACGCGCTCTGATGGGAGCGGAGGGGGAGGTGGCGAATGCTTGTGACAAACTTCTCTGTGAACAGTAAAATTTGAACGATTTTGTGTAAACACTTCATTTCATCGGTAACCCTCGTCCAGCTGCCCTGTATGTTCACAGAGAACTACCTCCTTAAACTGTTAGCCAGTGGTGCTAAACGTTCGCGGAAAACAGAAAACTGTTTGCAGTTGTTCTCCTGTGTTCGCCGAAGTTTAACGCACTGGTGGCCTCGACGCTAAGACGACGATGCAGTGTTTAAAACAACAGGGTCGCTGTAAATAATAGTTACTTGCTTCTCTGTTCCAACTTCATTAACGATACCAGCGAACACACATTTCAAAACACAAATGCAACAGCTCATAACATGAAGTAGGACGGAATTTAGCATCATCATTCGCGTTAGCTAACTAGCTTGCTAGCTCAACTATCGCAGCGTCCCAAACCACACATCTGTACTTCACATACTACACTAGTGAGTGCAATTCTAGGTATATGCGCTATTTTTACACACTATTTAGTGTGCTAAGTATGCGGTTTGGGACGAGAAGTATCTTACCGAGATTAATCATCTTCATAGCCTACAAGTTTCCTCTTCAGATGCTCCATCGTGGACGATGTGATCTCATGCCAGCTAAGGTCGGCTTTACAAATAGCACAGCTGACTTTTTTTCCTGAGTTTAGCTCCCGCACTTTTGCGGATTTTGTTCTTGAGGCAGCCATCGTGCTGTTGATAATGTGCGGTAATGTCAAAACGTTCCTAGTGAGCGCGAGAAAGACGCGTAATGACGTCACCAACTAATCGACTACTAAATTAGTTGCCAGCTAATTGGGTCGTGGACTTTAGTCGACTAAGTTGAATAATTGTTGCACCCCTAGTATACACAAAGGGAAATAACCAAATATGTTATTTTTTTGGGTCTAGTTGTGGCTGCTGAATGACTCCCAGTGTGAGGAAACTGAGCATTCATGATGGTAATAAAGTATTTTGAACACTGCAGTATACGGGTTTGCTTATTACTGTACAACAACACATTCTGCTGCATAAACTCTATAAACAACAGGCCACCAGTCCAGTTTAACCGCTGAGTTTGACTGCACACATGAGAAGAGCATTCTTACATCTGTAACCGCTCTGAAGAGAAGTCTGTGGAGATGCTGCCATTGTAGCTGTGCTCAGTAGTCCTACTCGGAGAGGTTGCATGTGAATTTTTAGACCAAATAATGCAGTGCATTATGGGTATCCCCTGTTCCTTAGGGTACATCAGTTCTAAACAAGTTTTTTTGCAGTGCATTGTGGGATTGTTTGAGTGCACTGGATCTGCTGCACTGTTTTCAGACACCACTACAAAATGGCAAACTTCAAAATAGTGCACTATAAAGTGAATAGGGCACACAGTTACAGAGATATCAGACTAGCTAGCCTGTTTAGCTGTTACATGTAGTCTATTAACTGTTCCTGTAATTCAATACAAAGTGGTATCTTATTTGCTTATTCATTATATTTAATTATACTTTTTTTTTTTTTCAAAGCATCGGAAAACAGCTGCAGATCAGTAGTACAATTTCTACCAATATGTTGCTGATTATGGTTAAAAAAAAAAGTGAAGAATTTACAAGATTCTGTAATTTACTTCACTTATTCCAAACGATATACAATCCCTTCCACTATTATTGGCACCTGTGGTCATAATGAGTAAAAAGGGTTATGAGAAATTCACCATTTGGTGAATTACCTTAATCTCACAGTGAAAAAATGAGAAAAATCTTTTAATTGATGTAGATTCATCCTGATTGGAAAAAATCTCTTATCAAGAATTATAATTATTTTTAACAAAACCACATGTAGCACAAATGTCGGCACCCAGCATTCAATACTTTGTACAACCCCCCCATATCATCAATAGATTTAGTGAATCTAGAGGAATCTCTGCATAAAGCGCAGACTGAATGGCCGTGACCTTCAGTCCCTCAGATGGCACTGAAGTAAAAACTGAATGCTTTTGTGATGAAGATAACCACATGGGCTCAGGAATACTTTAACAAACTATTGTTACCAAGCACCATTCACTGCTGCACGGTTAAGACTGTATGCTATGCTATATGTACTGTACTTATATATACAGTGGAGTCCAAAAGTCTGAGACCACTAGTAAAAGTGCTTCTTTTTTGCACTCTTTTCTAACTTAATGAAATTATTACAAATTATATTATCAGCATAATAATTTGAATGAAAAGTAGAATTTTTAAAAATTTTAATGTGAAGTTTAGAATTTATTAGTATTGGAAAGTCCTTCTTTTGCTTTAATGACTGTGCACTTGAGCTGGCATGGACTCCAAGTTTTTGTAAAAGCCTCTGATTAATAGATAAGATCTTACTGAGTTGTCGGAACACCTGTTTCAATGGAAGAGAAGTCTGGGGAAAAAAAAAGTCTGACGTTGTTCAAAGTCCTCAACATAGTCAGTGTCACAAATTTGCTTACATTTGAATTATGATCAAGAAATAGTGCAGATCATTTTACTTCTTTGTAAATTCTAAAATTGTTCTGTTTAGTTCTATATAAACACACACGCACACTTTCCTCTAGTCCTTCATCAGTGGTCACAAGACTGCCCACAGGCTGTTGGCTTGATATTTCTTGTTGGTCGACTATTCTCAGTCCAGCAGTGATACCGAGGTGTTGAAAAACTGATAGGAGTCAGAACCATATATGCATTTCATTTGTTAGTTTTAGCCTGCCCTTTACAGCAGCAGACTGAGCTACAAGGGCTGTCAAAACAAAATTCTACATTCATATGTTATTTATTAACGTTAACACACATCACGGCTACCAAACGGTTGACTGAACATGCTGTTGCTGATCATAAACCAAACAACGATCAGTTTTGGTTTTACATACACGTTTGACAAACAGGGCCGCACAGTGGTACAGTGGGTAGTGCTGTCGCCTCACAGCAAGGAGGGCCTGGTTCTGATTCCCCAGCTGTGTGACCAGGGTTCTTTCTGTCTAGAGTTTGCATGTTCTCCACATGTTTACGTAGGGTTTCCTCTGGTGCTCTGGTTTCATTAACATTTAGCGTAAAATGCTAATCATATGATGAGTCAGGTAGTATTCCCCCCTCAAATTTCAAATGAAACCTTCTCCACTGCATTAGCCTAAACAAAACATTTAAACACCAGGAATACCCTCTTGTTGTAGTATAGTATTGCTAATATGCTAATTACATTATTTCTTGCTGTTGCCAAGTGTGTCTTTGCCTAACATTGTATGCACAGGTACTTATTGTTTTTGCTGTGTGACCATATTTGTGATCATAATTGTTGTAAAATGGCCAGATGTGCAGCAGTTTGGGGCAAGAGGTGGGCTCAAGACACATGTACAAAGTAACTTTTCTTCTTCATCACAGGTGAACTGTAATGGTTTTACTATTGAAGATGAGGAGTTGTCTCATTTGGGCTCTGCAGTCTTTCCTGAGTAAGCAAGACATTATGCTTTCCCTCACAATCAGGTGAAGTTATTTCAATATTGATTTATGCTGACTGTGCTTTTGTGATGTCGCTTACAGTGTTGCTTTGATGAACCACAGCTGTAGTCCAAATGTGATTGTGACTTATAAAGGCACAGCCGCTGAGGTTCGAGCTGTTCAGGAAATCAGCCCTGGAGAAGAGGTGTGACTGAGATCTCCTCTTCAAATTCTTCCACCTTGTCTAGTAGAGAGTGCTGAGATTTCAAGAGCTGATTGTCCAAACATATGTGTGATCTCCAATCAGAAATGCAGGCACACCACCACAACTTCACCGGAATTATCTCTATTAAATCATTCAGCTCTGTCAGCAGTTGTTACATCTGTAATATTTAAACACATTTAGCACTTTTTGTTCATACCTGAGAATGACTACTGATATATTGCAGCTACAGTTAAAGTATTATAACAAAGTTGACCGTGTTAAGTGTCAGTGAATAATTATGGCTTTCACTTTTCTCTTATAGATTTTCAATAGTTACATCGATCTCCTGTATCCAACAGAGGACAGGAATGAAAGGCTGAGCGATTCATACTTCTTTACCTGTGATTGCAAAGAATGCACCACCAAATCTAAGGTAATTTCTAGTTTGTTTTGGTTATTGCTGTTGTTGCTGCTGTTGTTGTTTTCAGAAAAATGAGGCAAAACACACATTGTGGAATTTAGTAAAGCAATTAATAAACAAAAAGTACAGGAAACATTAAGATAAGCATAAAGGTAAACATGTTGCTGAAAACACAGATTATTCAAACACAAATAATCATTTAAATGGACAGAGTTACAGATTTGATATTTGAGAGTTGAAATTCTTAAATTGTCCAAAAAGTGCAATTTTGAATTCAATAAGTAGTTCTTGAAAGGCTTGCCGCTTTGCCAAAAAATACATCAGCAAAAAACACAACTGTTTAAAAATATTTTTTTTAAATGAGTGATTGCTTTTTGGGTATTTTACCATGCACAGTGCATAATAACATCAAAAGATTCAGGGAATCCAGAGAAATCTTTGTGTGTTAATGGCAAGGCCACAGCTGAATGCCTGTGAGTCACTCACCAGGATGCCTGTGACCTTCAACACCTCAAACACTGCATTAAAAACCAGCATGCTGCTGTGATGGATATCACGTCTTGGGAATACTTTGACAAACCATTGTCAATAAACAGTTTGTTGCTGCATCCACAAATTCAAGTTAAGACTGTACAGTGGATGTTACGTCAACAGCGTCCAGAAACACTGCCCTTCATTGTGCTCAGGCTCATCTAAAATGGACTGATGTGCAGTGGCAGTGTGTATCGTGGTCTGACGTATCAACCTTAAAATGAAAGTAAAATATTTATAGTTATCATCAGTATTTATAGTTATCATATTTTTAAATAAAAAAAATAAATAAATTCAAACTTAATTAAAAAAAGCTGTGTTTTGAGTTCTGCTCAAAATTAGGTAATTTTGCCACTACTGACATTTGGTACAGTTTTGGTAGTGATGTAATTGTTTTGATAGTGACAAATTGGAATGTTTTAATTGTTGTTTTTAATTTAATAAAAATACAGAGAACATTATTAGAGTATGAGGATGGAGGATGAAACATGCCATAATAAGTAGATAGTAAATAAGTAGATTTATTTATTCATAGACTTCATTCTCAAGTATGCTAATAAGAAAAACTAAGCCTACAAGCTATTGGTTAATAAAAGAGTGTGTGCAGTGTGTTTACTTTTGCCTTGTTTCTGGAACACTGCTAATAGTTGAGTGATGGTGGAGCATCTAAACCAACTTCCTATGCAGTTACGCTTGATAGCAGATGAATCAGACAGTGGACAACTGGACAACGATTATGTTGTGTTTCAAGTAGAGGGATTAATTGCAGATTTGGGAGAGCTGAGCTGTTAAATAGATGTGTCAGTGTTGGATTCCCTTCAAGACGTTGCTCACCAACGTCAGCATGTGTCTTAGGGTGCAGGAAGACATTTTATGAACTTGTTTCTTTATCATTTTTTATCATTAACAAATGACCATTGACTGGTTGGCCTGACAAGGCTCAGCCAGGAGGATTCTGAGCAGTAGCATAGTTTGACTGGGCAGCTGCAGATTTCAATGCTGTAGGGATGTGGATAGCTAGATCTGGCCACTTGTAGGTCATTTTTTTAATTAAACGTAATTTAAAAATGTAGTTATGCAAGTATTCAGTATAATTGCTTTATGTCGTTTAACAGAAACAAATAAACACAAGAAGACAACGGTTGTCGAGATGGTCTGCATTATCTCGAACAAACTGACAAATTTGTCAGTTTCGTCATACTGGAATTTTCTTGCACATTCAGTCGACCTTCTGTTTAGTATTGTCTGGTCCGCCTTGCAAGCCAACAATAGTTTCGACCAGTAGATTATGCTCTAGCATGAACCATGGACCTTATGGAAAAATACATACAAATATTACATCAAAATAAATAAAACATGAATTCATTTATTTTAGTATTTCCACTCATTTGTATTTACTCATCTGTTTTATTTATGCGTTTGTAACCCACTTTTATTTTTAGCTTTATTTATTTGTTTGTTTGTGTATTTTCATATCTATTTGTTTACTTTTTCTACTGTTTATTTCTGTTTTTTGTATTCATTCATTCATCCCTTCCTTTGGCATGTTTCATCACCCATGTTAGTCTCATGACCGAGTCAGTTAAAAGTCCAAAATGTGTTTTCAACTCTTGACTTTGAACCAGTTTGTTAGAATGATCCATATATATTTGTATTTGTGTGCTACTAAAGAATTAACAAATTCTCACTCAACATCAGATAGAAATTCACTTCCAAGATCCTCTTTTTGTGATCACAGCCAGTACATACCTACAATTATGTATTTCCATTTTTGTCACACAGTACTTTGCATCTCTTGTGAAACTGACATGCTTGCAGGACAAAGCCAAAATAGAGATCCGCCGAAAGCTGAGCACACCACCAGAGCCAGAGGAAATTCGAGAAATGGTGAGGTACGGCAAGAATATCATTGAGGAGTTCAGGAGAGCCAAGCACTACAAGAATATCCTTTCCTATTTTTTTTTTCTATGTGTTTGTGCCTCGGTGTCATGGAACACCTGATTTTAGAAACATAGATAACTGGTTACTAAAATCAGAAGCAGTGAAAATAAGTGGCTGTACATAGGCCTAGTTGTTTATCCGGTCTTTTAGTCACCATTGTGAATGACTGTACTCCTGTTTATTTTTTTGATGTTGTGGCTTTGATTCAGTTAACTGGTTTTAATTTCACATCTGTGCTCTTGTCCATTAGCAAACTCTTGTTGCTCATTTTTAGAGAGTAATAGTGGAAAAACAGGGAGACATTAAATCTGGAGCAAGTCCTGGAAACATTTGCGTTCATTTTGACAATTCGTGACAGGAGCTTTAATGTAGTTGTAGACCCAAAATTAAATTTGTTAGTCCTTGACTACACAGCACCTCCCAGTGAACTGCTGGAGATTTGCGAGTTAAGTCTGGAGAAGATGGGATCCATTTTTGAGGACACCAATGTGTACATGTTGCATATGATGTACCAGGCTATGGGTGTATGTCTCTATATGCAGGATTGGGATGGAGCCATGAAGTATGGCGAGAAAATAGTGCAACCGTATAGGTATGACTGATTAATTGTATAAATAATGGTTGTCAAATCATTTTGAAGTATTGAAGTGCAGTGCACTTGTGCTGATAAATGTTAAGACATGCATGTATGTCTGTTTGTGTTTGATCTTTACAAGTGTTTTGTGTTTTTTTTTGCCAGTGTACACTACCCTCCATATTCTCTCAATGTGGCTTCTATGTACCTGAAACTTGGAAGACTTTACTTAGGACTTGAAAAGAAATCAGAAGGAGTTAAAGCTCTAAAGAAGGTATTGTGGGTTTTGTTTGTTTTTTGCAACTGTAATTAAAGCAGGGAAATATTAAGCATACTCTATATCAGAGGTGACCAGTCTACATCGAAAGATCTACCTTCCTGCAAAGTTCAGTTCCAAGCTAATTCTAACACACTTCATACAGATAAACAAGGTCTGCTGAAAGAAACCTCTTTCCAAGCAATTTGGCTACAAAAGACTACAAATGACTTTATAATACTGGATGCACACGATTCAGTCATCTTCACGTTACTCATTTTTTCCTGTATTGTGCCCACACTTAAAAAATAACTCTCCTGTTGTTTTTTTCTGCTTCATGGTTCTGAAAAAGAGTTATTTCATTTTCTAAAATTTGAACTGACAATGATCAAATTTTTCTAGACTTCACTTATGTGGTAATCAATTTCGTTTCAGGCTGTGTCTATCATGAATGTGGTGTTTGGTAAGGACCACCATTACATTGCTGAGATTAAGAAGGAGATGGAGGAACAGAAGTGAAAAAGAAAGTGGAGAACCTTTGTAACAGCAACAAAGGCTGCATGGCATGGATCTTATACCTCTGCCTGAATACAAAGTGATGTCATTATTATATGTTTCTTTCTGGTGTTGTTAAGATATGTTTTGTTTTACTTGTTATTGATGACCTGAATGTTTGATTTTGAGGTGCTGGTATTGTCTGTCTTCAGTTGGAAACAATGTTTTGTGTGAGCAAGGGCTAATATTTAAAAAACCAAATATAACTATACAAATTATAAATTCTTAAGAGTATTTATAAATTACATTATTGCTTTCCCATGTAGCAACCAGAAGTTGAGACTCTGGAAAACCAAAATTAAAATGCAAAAATACTGTTTGAACTAGCTCTCTTTCTCAGAATGTAAACCATGTAATGTGCTTTTTGTACCCCTCACTCTCCATATTAATTTACTGTGTGGTGTTGCATGATTGTTTTGCAAGAAACAGTGTACTGTGTTTCAGGCCGAAACTGTATACCAGGTGTCATCAGTTCCAGCCCTGGAAGGCCAGAGTCCAACTCAATTTGATGATTTCACTGCTGGAACACACCTGTTGCAGCTCATCTGTTAATTACCAGTTTCAAATTTGTGTGTTTGAGCAAGGAGATCACCAAACTGTGCAGGTGCTCCAGGACTGGAATTGATGAGCCCTGCTCTATACTACAATACAGACGATGCTGCAAAAAGTTCTGTACAAATAAAATTGAATTTAATTGAATATAGACTCTGGAAATTATCACATGGTTTTCAGATTTCCACTGTTTTTGCTGTACTGTACTACTTAAAATGCGACCATTAATGGCAACCTGTCTCCTAAAGTTTATTTTGTGTGAACAGAGAGAAATAAATAAAATAGTAAGGACTCAGGACTTGAGTTCCGTGGACAAAAGGTCATAATGTGACACATAGGAGAAAATGGGGAAGGATAATGGTTGGGGTAGGCTGGAATTTAAATATGGACTATTAATCTTGGACAACCATACATTATTTACTTTATAAAAATGCTGGGCAATGTGCAAAAACATATTTTGCCATATCATTTGATGTAATTAATTAGCAGTAATTATTGGAACATTGCTACCTAGTGAACCACTGTTCAAAGTTTAGTCCTTTGCTGCTAATACTGGATTGTGGGAACAGCAGAATCATGTTATCAAAAATCTCAAACAAAACATTTAAAAAAGATGGGACAGTTAGTAATATGCTTATAAAAACCAAAAGCAGTATTTTAAAAACTCTGACCTGTATTAAATGATGGCACATATTCCAAATTTGATGTCTGCAGCACATTCGAAAATATGAACATGGACAGGCAGTGTACGTTTTATGCAAAACAAGTTGATTGTCTTAATAAATAATGCATCCTCTACAGAAAACAAACGTAAAAATGCCTGTGCACAATTTCTTTCTATTTGCTGAGTTTTACATATTGGAAAAAATATAAAGTTTTTGCACAGGCCTTATTTAATGTTTTATTTGTTTTTACCAGTATGTTACTTTCAGTAAATAAACAGTAATTGTGCATCAAAATATGCAGTTTTGTGTTATCTGTAGAGGATGTGTATTTATTTTTACTTGGAATGTCAACAAAACATAATTTGACTGTGGCCCAAACTTTTTCATATGTCTTTCATGTGTCAGTCCTAACTTGCAGTTGTGGATGGAGCGATGAACAGTGTTTATTGACAATAGCAAGTTATGTAGCAAAAGCACCTGAGCAACTTGCTGAGAAGTCACTTTACATTTTACTGTGTAATAGTAGCCCAGAGTTATATCTAACTATGATGAGAAGTACATAATGTAGGAGGTTTCTTTTGCAGGAAAAAAGAAAAAACTTTAGGCACTAATATGTAGGCTACTTTGACCAAGCCTAGCGTATTGTGTAAAGAGCAACACAAGCGTTACAGCTAGCTTAAATATCTAGCAAAAGCAGCCTACATTTATATCAACTTTAATAATTTACCAGTGTCCCTTTTAAAAGTTTTTATAGCTGCCTAGACAAATTACCCTACCGTATCATTTTTATGACAGTATGTATGTATTCTTGTGCCACATGTCAATCGTCACACAAAAAAGGCCTTTGTCCATGATGGAGGTTTATATGAGCACAACCTGTGTACAGAGTGACTTGTTCTGTGATGTCACGTTACTATGGAGCCTCTAAAAAGAAGTGGTGTATTTTATTTTAGATAAAAATCTGGTAAGCGCCAGATACTATTTGGTACTCACCACACAGTATCTGGTGCTCACTAGATTTTTATCTAAAAATACACCACATCCTTTCAGAGGCTCTGTAGCGTAAAAATTTATCTAAGATTGTTTCTTCTTCTGTGTTAATATAAAGACGTGTAGAGAAGTATTGTGATCCTTGACGGTCTTTTTACCCATGGTTAATGAACTGAGGTGGAAATTATTTCAACTGAAAACTAAAGCTAAGCTTACTATTATGCTGCAGATGAATAGAAAGGAGAGCAGAACCACAGCTTAGGACACAGCAAGAGGGAGAGCTTAGAGAAAGACATGAGTGGAGACAGAAGAAATGAGAGAGAAAATGAAGAGACTGATAGCCGTATTACGGAGACAGAAGAACATCAATAAAGCTGAAAGAAAGGGCGAGTTTTGTCTACATGCAAAATTGCATCAATTTTTAACTGTGAACCTTTGAATCAGCCCTTATTTTCTTAAACTTGTATAAAGAGTGTCTGCAAAACTATCAGGAGTGTTTGGGATGTTTATTAAACAATTGTGGTAATGTGTGTTAATCTATTAATACACATAGGTTCCTAATTAGTCATTGGTGACAAAGAATGTAACAACTTTTTAACTTAATACACGATTATGGCTGTGTCAGAATTAGGAGCAACCATTTTACTGTAGGAATAAGTGATGGCACCAGGCCTGTGCTTAAGGGGGTTAAGCCCTGGATGTCCTCACTGGGGAAAAACGTGCACTGGCTAAATTCAAATATGTACATCGGTTCCACGTAAATGAAAAATGTCATTTCTTGCCAAAGGTGAGTAAACTGAAAGAAAAAACATTTTGATGTAATGTTTAATTCATGTAGAATTTTGTATGAATTTAAATTAAGTAAAGTCAGAACTAACACAAGTACTGCCCGTGTAGCAAGACCTTAAATGGGCAGTTCATGCTTGAAAGCCCTCCAAGAAGGCTAAATTTAAGAAATTCAAGAAGAGTGGGCCAAAATTCCTCCACAGCTATGTGAAAGACTGATCTCCAGTTACAGCGTTTGATTGAGGCTGTTGCTGCTAAAGGTGGCAAAACCAGTTGTTAACTTGAGGGGGCAATTATTTTTTTGACATGAGTGATATAAATGTTGCAAAACCATGTTTTGTGTTTCCTCTTGTTCTCCTTGTCTTATATTTTGTATGAGGATTTAAAACCATGAGTTTTAACCTATTAATACAAAGAAATGGCATTTTATTTACATATTACATGAAGCATGTACTAGTTAAAGCAGATATTTTTGTAGGCCGCCAATAAAACAACAGGATTTAGCAGCTTGTGAGCCAGTGGCTGCGCTCCTAGGTGGAGTTTGAGGTCCAGCAGTGAGTGCACTGCTCCCCCTACTGACCAAATGTTAGCGTTAAAATTACAATGATAGAAAAGAATAAAAACCAAAACGTCTTGTATGGTGTGATTATTTCTCTAAAATAACATTTAAACGCTGTGTTGTTGCAGTGCATGAAACGCTTCTGCACTGTTTTGTAGCACCCCCTGATTTCAGAATTCCAACTTTTAAATATTAATAAAAAGTTCTGAACATTAGAATGATCCGAGTATAATAAAGAGCCACGTGTGCTTGTTTTAGACAGGAGTTTGTATTTTTATGTTTTAAGAATCTGCTATGGTCGTGCACTGTTTAAGTGAACGTCGTATTTTCATTACAGTGAGCTGAAAACAGCTGGCCGCTTTGGGGGCGCGTTGTTCAAATACACATAGGCTGAGCTTCCAAAAGAGGAAGATAGAGACTGATGCAGAGATGAAGGCCAAGTCTGAACCTAAAGGCAGCCTTATGTTTTTTAAACTTCAAGAAGTCATCTATTTACTAATAATGAAGCTTTTATCAACCATTATTCTCACGCTCTTTGCGTTTCAGTGCTCAATCTCTGTGTGTCTCTAGGCGTGAGACAGCAGTGTTGATGTGCGAAAGGGTTTTGTGTGTATGTGTGTGTGTGTATGTATGTATATATATATATATATATATATATATATATATATATATATATATATACACACATATATATATATATATATATATATACACACATATATATATATATATATATACACACACACACACACACATTGTCCTCTCACCTCACTACAGCGCTGTATGGACACGCTCAATTTCATGTAAATCAGCCAAAATTAAAGAATCAAATAAAGAATGACAAATTACATTGAGGGACGTCATTAGTCATGTCACACTGCTTAAACTTGCAGCACCATTAACTTAAAATTTCTTCCTGCTTCCCTGGTTGTAGCTGCCTAAACGAAATAGCATCTAAATCCTGCAAAATCGGCCACTGTTCCGGTCAGTAATTCTAGTTTATTTCAAGTAAATTTGCTACAGAGCAGGAACAGTTTCATGGCACAAGTTGCCATAGTATTTTGTTAAGTGCTTGTTTTTCAGATATTTTCAGCATTGACACCTTAACTTTATGAACATAATTCAATTTCAACAAAATGTCAGATAGAACCTTATAACTCAAAAAGCCCTTTTGTTGTCACCTTATGAAAATTTTTTCCATGTTTCTCATTCCTCACTTGGTTATGACACAAATGAAAGCTTAACTTGACCTGGATGGCAGGATGCATGCACCTCTTTTTCCTGTGACTGTCTGGGCAAGAATGATAATGGTGTTATATATTTTGGTAATATTTTATTTCAAGCTTCTGCAGCATCATTTATTACATCTTGCTGGAAATAGTTAAAATTTATTTCATACAATTTAATTACGTCACATTATAAAAAAAATTAAAAACTAATTGAAAGTCATTGAACAAAAAAAAAAAGCACATAAAATGTCAGCATCTTGAACAGCAGTTACAGTATCTTTTTTTTTTTAAAGGAAATCTCGGAGTAAAATGACTGGAGGACATTCTAAAAAAAAAGCGGAACTAGATGGATGATTCTAGTCCCATAACATCAGGCACTCTGAAATCTACATCAAAAGAGAAAAAGAATGACTTTCCCTAGTGCTGTAAAACCTGAATGTGTATATTCATTTTTTTGTCTATGGGACTCACTGAGGGATACCAGCCACAATCTCAGACTCAATGCCACAGTGATCCACACCTCTCAGGATCTTGAAGAAGCCTAAATGAGAAACAGAAAATGCAATATAATGAATCACAATCACAAAAATTAGTTTAACATTTAAAACTTGTGTTAAAAAGTCAAAACTGAAAATTAGACAAGGATTTGGATAAAACTAAGTATCAAGGGGAAGCATATCATGGGATATCACCCAAAATACCACATTGTACAAACACAAAATTTTGTTAACATTTTCACTAAATGGTGCCTAAAGCTGGGTGAACACTACACATTTTCTAAACGCCTAACAAATCTTGAAACATGGCAAGGGCCCCAAGCAGCACAGACAGGCCTGAGGATTTAATGTAAAACATTCAATATTACATGGTCATGCAGCCAGATGGTAGTTTCTAAAATTCTAATACTAAGTATAGTAAAGGA